TTGTTGTCATATGCTATTCGTTTAATAAAAAGAACTCCAAATGTATGACCCTTATGTGAAAAAATGTGTTTGGTTAGCCAAACCCCCAAATAATCGCCCCTCTTCATGATTCTGTGCAGGCAGAATCTGAAACCCTTGTTTTTCATAATATCCATCCATATTCTTGTCAATTAAAGTAAGATTCTCTTAATCGGTTTAAGTGTTTGAATTTTGAATATGACATCCTGTTGCTTTTTCTCTAGACTTTAAAAATGATGTTGAATTTGAAAATGGAAGGAACAGCTGACCAAATGTGTTTTGGATTACACATTTAATGTAAATATGTCTTTATACACGTGGCTGTTAGATTCTCTGGTGATAACATTTTCCTTAATCTTTCCAAATGTAACGGTAACAGAGGGAGCGTCTGTGCCATCTCAGTATAAAGGGCAGCAAAGGGAACTCTGCCAAAGTCCATGAAAATAATGATTTACCTTTTAACTTTCTAAAGAAATCTGGTACTCATGGAGAATGGGAAGCAGCACAACCCAGCAATATCCAAATGCAAGCTATTGACATGAAGTTTATTTTTTAGGAGGCTGATTTTCAATGCAGTATCAAGATGGAATATTTCATGTCTGGTTTTGATATTACAAATGTCTACCCTTTCTCCTCAATTTGTTTTTAATTAAATTTCTTTACAATTTCATGTTTTATGTGGATTGTTTCGTCTGCTGACTGACTTCTGACCTTTAAGAAGGAGAGGATTACTTTCTCAGGAACACTGTTTTCCTAGTGTGTTTTTTTTTTTTTTTTTTTCTAATTAGCTCTGTTTTATAAAAAACCCCAACCCTTTCTCACTGTATTTAGTACATTAGATGCCCCAAAAGTTTGGGAGTATATCGTCATTTCAGACAGCGTTGCTGATGATCTTTGTGTTTGTACCAGATCATCTTCACTACATTTCCAGGCTTTTTTCTCTTAGAGCCACAGAAAGATTTATTTTGAGGTGCACAAGAAGCATTCGAGAATGTGTTGTGTCAGTTTTCTTTTTAATTTTATAGGAACTTTGGCAAAAATGTGCTGTGTTTCTAATCTAAGATGTGGAAGGCAAAAGTTAGTATGATGCACCTGTTGGCGTTTAAAGCTGACGTGAATTTTCCTGATGCACACATGCCTCCTGCCTAAGCTTTTGCTTGATGGAATTTGAACGTTGGTTCTTTTCTGCAAACTGATGTGATTTCCTCTTTGCACATTTCGGAGTAGCCTGTGTCTCTGTGAATTCTTTGTGCAGACCGTTTTGTCTCCCAAGCTGTTGCTAGTATGTATCAGGTCTATAGAAATCACTCAAGCTCTTGCAATTTATTCAATAAGTGAACTATTTTAAGTCTCTGGTGTGCTTTCATAGAAAGCTTTGTTTAGGAAGTGAGGTTCCCAAAGAAAGCAAACTTTGGACCCTTAGTGTTTAAAAACAAGCACATCCTTTGTTTTGAATGTTACAGGCAGCCATCCATTGTCCTGAATAAAAAGATTGCTAAAAACACAGTCAGCCATCCTTAGATCATCTAAATCCTTTGCTTCACTCTTCTTGTATAAGTGCATCTGTCTTCTAGAATACTGTTGTCATTTTGCCCAAGTGCTGAATTATTGCTGAATGTATTTTTTTAATGTGTTTTTAGCAGCGTTGTTATGTGGCTCATAGATAGTGTGCTGCTTCCACACTACAGTGCTTCATGCTGCTTTTGATGAGCAGATGTTCCAAAAAAGTCAAATCCCTCCTCACTGGAGTATTTCTGTCCTTTCTGATATGGATTTCTCCAAGTTAAATGTCTCATTTGCAGTATCTTTCTTAAGTGTTCTGCTTCTCTAACTTTTTTTGTGTTTGACATACTCTGAATGAGACAGCTGAAAGCTCTCCTGCGTGTGATCGTTTATGGATAGAGAACAGAAAGTCAGCACGATGCAGTTTTCTAGTATTGCTTGCGCATGTTTTCAGGATGTATCCCTCCACTACAGGTAAATCATATTTCTAATGTTATGGTGAGCTTTTTCTCTACTTTAAAAAATACTCCACTGTCGTTAGCATTAGATTTTTCTTCAGTCACCAGTGGACTGTTATGAAATGTGGTTGCTGAAGACCTGTTCGCAGAATAACATTTTAGATTGTAATACCAACTGGATAGATTTATACATCTGAAATTCATTTAACCTTTATATCAACTATCTTTGTACTCAAGGGCTAATTTTTCATGCCTAATTTGCACATGCAGTTACTGTGACTGAGTATACAGTTATGGTAAAAATCTGTGCAAACCGCAGGCGTTTCGTCTATACCAGTTTTATACCTTCGACCACCGTAACAGCTAAGTAGGAATTTCATGAATAAGGGAAAAGAAATAAGCACGACTGGCTTTGAAAATCTGTGCCTGATGTGTTAGGTCTCCCTAGCCTAAAATCTTCTCTGACTCTACCCTGTTTAGCTTGTTGTCTATTTTCCATGCTCTCTTCTGTAGTCATGTTCCCTCCATGAAGGTAGCGATCTCTTTACCCTGTATTTCATGGCCATTCCTTAACACAATGATTAAATGACAGTGTTCGTGATCAGGGAGTAGAAGAAGGTCTTTTCCTGTCTTCCTGCAACAGAGCAATTTCTGGGATGTTTTATATCACAGCTCTGGCACTCATCTTTCTCAAGCTCTTGTCCTGCACGGCTTGCGTCTCCTGGTATGAACAGCTCACTGCACCTGAGACTTTCTTGTTCCAAATAATTTATATTGCTTTTGATTTATCTTTGAATTAAGTGACATCCTGGAATATCCCATGGATTACACCGCAATAGTTAAAATTCCTAACTAGACTGCTTTGCTATGAGAGTTTTCTCTGACCTGCAATTGATTCAGTCACTTCTCTTAAATAGAGCAGCATACAACATGAAAGTCATTAAAGTGTATTTATGAATGAAATATGGCCATTTTTTCAAAATAACCACAGAGCATATGACTGTGTTTTATGTAGGACTACACAAGTACTTTTGTATGTACTGACAGCTGAAGTCATACGAAGAGTTAAAGCACAACTATTTTTATTGGACATTACTGCAAACATTTATAAACCCATTTCTCTCTGTAGTGCATATTAGTAATAGATTACACTGAGAAATGTGGTCTCGGTGTTCACAATACAGAATGTGCTTTCCTTTTGCTGACACCCATGGAAAGGAAACTGTTGCACAGCAGCAGATGATAGTTTCGGTCGATTTTCCTCCTTTCCTACTCCCACTCCCTTTTTGGAGACCTAATGTAGGGGTTGTAAAGCAATCTCGAAGTATTGTGCTTGCTGTCACCTGCCAGTGAGAAATCTTGGGGCCTTTAAAGCTCTTTTGAATTAGCTTTTTGATGCCGGTGTTTTCCTCCTGTATATTGTCTACTTTATTTCAAATCGCTTTTTGAACAGATCTGTAAATTTAAAGCATTGGAAAATAAATGTGTTTAAAAACCGATGATGACTTAAGAGATACAGTACTCCACTTGAATATGTTAGATCAGTAAACTGCGGATTTCAGTTTCTGAGGACTCTGGGTTAATTTGTAATACAAAGGAAAATACAGAGCTCTTGGTTTGTGCAGACCTGGCATTTTGCAGCTGTAGGCTTCAAATTGTTTGTCTTACAGGAGCAGACCATATCCTGTTCACCAGTTTAAGCAAGTACTTCACAAGATCAGGATCCTATTTGAGAGTAAGCTGGAAAACACAGTAGGTTGAAAAGATTATTTTACTTTGCAGGGTATGGAAAGCAACAGATACCAAAAGGAGAACGAGAATCTTAGAGATCCTTCAAGCATAGTCATGTTGAATAAAAGCATATATTACAGCTTTGGACTGTTTTTAACTCCAGTGTTGCACGTGTAAATCTGTAAAGTTTAGAAGTACTCAAGTTTTAAAGAATGTTAAATGTTCAGATAGTTCTGTTCTAACTCACAGGTTTTGAACCTTTGGGTTTCCTTTTTAAAGTGTTTTTTTTCTGCAGCCATGAGGATTATAAATGTCTCTTAACGTACTGTCAAATGCTCTCGACTGTTGATGCTTTAAGCAAAATATAAACAACTCTGAGGCTTACAATGAAATGATAAAACTATGTAGCAATATGAGGAGGACCTTGAAACAGCTGACAATGCATGACATGTTTCCTTCCCAGTTTTAAAGCCATTTGTCCAGATGTTGAAACAAGTATTTCTTGTCATACCTGAAATAGTCTTTTTGCTCCTTCTGTTTCTTGTAGAACTAGGCTTCCCCTTTGGGTGTAGAGGTTGCACATGATAATGAACCCGGTTTGAGTTGACAGCAGGACTCAAATCAGTATGAGCTTTGTTTCGAAATACTTAGTTGGACTCGCAAGTCAATGTCGTGTTTATATAACAGTTGGCAACTTAGCACCAAATTCTGGAAAGCGCATAATGTAGCTCTTTAAATGACTTAATGCTAGTAGTAACATTTTCAGAGGATTCTAATTTTGTATTGCATTTTTACTGGATTCTAATGAATTTTGAACTGAGCTGTAAAAGAGTTTTTTTTTTTTTAATAGGGAGTTTTATATGGCTTCCTACCTATTAGACTTACACATATTGTGGGGCACTACCAGTGATAAAGTTTTATCCAGTTTTGGCATCGGAGTGCTGGATGGTTGGTTAGTGTTGCACAGCTTGAATGGAATAGTGCAGCTCCCATGGATAGAAGTGTAGATTAGACAATTTCATGGACTGCTGACATTTCTAAACACATAACTGTGCACATGTATGATTACTTAATTTTGTGACTAACTGTTGAAATCACATCACTGGAGAGCTTTGATGTTTTTCGTAATATGATTGTATCCCGTTAGGCCTTGTTAAGCATGAGGGCAGTTCTAAAATTTTCAGTTGCTTTATTCACCTTGTGTGAGTGACAGTGTGTGTCATTATGCATTTTCTTGAAAATACGGATTTATGCTGATTTTCACCCTTCTGCGTTTCTTTCTAATTACAGGTCATCTGTTTTACAAATTTGGAATCACAGAATCTGACTGGTATCGAATCAAGCAAAGCATAGACTCCAAATGCCGAACAGCTTGGAGGCGGAAACAGCGAGGGCAGAGTCTTGCTGTGAAAAGCTTCTCAAGGCGAACACCATCATCATCATCGTACAGTGGTTCAGGTAAAAAAACAAACCAAGCTCCCCCAGACCCCACAAAACCCAAACAGACCCCAACAGAAATGGAAACGTACAGTAATCACACCGTTTGTTTTTCAATATACCTGAAAATTAGTTTGATATGGTTACATTTATAACAGGTGCATGTGGTACCCACAGATGTGAATATTTTTGTGTAACAAAGAGAAACGGAGAAACCCACATTCCTCAGAATTGAATTTTTGGACTGGATTTTATTTTATTAGTGCTTTTTTTTTTTTTTTTTGAAGTACCCTTTATCATTGGCAGAGAGGCCTCTCTTACAGTGTTTGTCTGTCTGCAGTGCTCCTCAAGGAGTGTATCCGTGTAGTAAGTGAAGCCAGCCATTGGTAGTTAAATCATCTTGGACCTTCAGTGCAAGCCAACCACCTCCTGGTACGCGTGGAGTCCTTTGCAGCCTCCTGGGGCTTGTACCAAAGTACATCCGTGGTAGGATGAGCTCCTGATCCTGTTTCGCCTACAAATTGCAGTCATGCTGAGCATTAATGATCCTAGAAAGGAAGTGAGATGTGTGCGTTTGCTCACAAAGAGAAGAGAGAGAAGGGAGTCTGTCTCTAAAACAGTAGTAGAATACAGATTTGCCAGAAATGAAACTGTATTATATTCCAGTGAGTGAGAGATTGGCTTTGTTGATTTGTACGTTATCTGAATGCCTGGCTTTACTGAGATACTTGAGAACATCCATCCACATGTGTTAACTGAAAAACTTCAGCACGTGCAGCTTCACACTATCATATGTTTTTTTTTAGCCATGTTCAGTTTTTTGAGTAGAAGGTCAAGGTCAAAATGTTTCTGCAACTGATGTTCATAAGAGGGGTCAAGTGAATAAGTCTTTCGCAGTGCGTTCACACCATTTAGTAGGGTGTGCTAAATTTTGTTCCTGAAGTATTTTCCTCTGAAGAAATTAAATATGTTGAAGGTGATTCTGTATTTCCATATAGGTACGTAGGCATGAATAGTAATAACAAATGAAAAATACTGACCTAAGAAGTGTTCTCATAGGACATTTCTGGCTCATGCTTTTAATATAAAGCAGTGTTATGGGACATTTGTACATCATATATTAAAAACAGTGTTTTGGGAGTGAGCCCAAAGAAAAGGAAGTAAGTTTATTTGCCTGCATAAAATTTTTGGTTGCATGTTAACACTAACCACTGTATCTCATGCAAAGAATGCCAAAATCTGCTTTCAATGGAAAATTTTATGTGCTGGAACTAGGAATCTTATCCAAAATTCTCAAATTAAAACAACTAATCAACATAATGATAACCATAAGCCATATATGTTGATGGGATTTTTATTTTCAGTCTCTTAGCAATCAGTATTTTAGAATAAAAATGTGGTAGTAAGTGGATATTATGGGCCTGTGTTCATTGGACCGTACTCCTTGACTGTTGTTGAGATTTATTGTTAAAAAAATATTAATCTTTAATCTCCTGGTTTGGAGATTTGGGGAGACTAGTGTAGAAATGTAAAACACAGACTCAGGCTCAGTGAATTCTTGTTTTCAGACTGCCATAAGATAGCAAGGTGGGGTATTTTGTTGTGGTTAAGCTGGAGACTCGGTTCAGGTGTCTCCGTACCCACGGAACAATCTACTCACAAATCAGGTTAGCAGAATTGGAGGGTAAAAAGTAACTCCTGGGATGTCAGCAGCTTGCTCTCGGAGCATGTGGGAGTAGCGTGGTACGGACACTCGTGAGCTGGTTCTGCAGGAGCCACCACGATATTTTGGGTTGTGTGCCCGGGCTGGCTCCTGGAGCTGGAGTTGAGCTGGCTGCCTTTGGTACGTGGATAGCCAGCAACCCCCCAGGAGTTTTTATGCCACCCGGGTCTCCCCCTGAGCAGGCTGTCTCATCTCCCAAGTTCCCTAGATAGCAAAGAGGTGCCTGCAAGTCCTTATAAAGATGTCTTTGGTCCTGAAGACGATGAAGGTCAACTGAGGCACCTTGGCATGTCATTGGCAGGACTGTGTAGACCGTGCAGCCAAAAGTCGAGTACCGGCAATAACATTAACAGCTGCCTTTGGTAACGGTATGTGAAAATGTTCCTGTGGATTCAGAGTATTTCGTTAATTTTCTTTAAAATATTGCTCTTACTCAGAATGTCATTGGCATAATTTTCTGGGAGGCTGTAAAGATGTTAGATGAATTCACCACTACGTTCGCACCCACTGTGAAAAAGCTCTTAGAAAAACAGACTGCTTTTCAGAATGAGGTGGTCCTTTGAAAAATTAATTTACGTTCCAAAATCAGGTGGGAGTGGTATTTCACCTGAAGGAAGAAGAGGAGGCATGAGGAAAAACAGGAGAGCAGGTTGAGAGGCTGAATGAGTATATAGGGAAAAGAAATAGAAGAAAAGATACAAGGAAAAAATGTAGATTCACACATGCTTAAAAAGGTAACTTTTGCATGACGGGGCTGTAATTCCACTGCTCTGCCCAGGTAACTTCATGAACCTCTCAGACTTCGCCTTTGTGGTTTGACATCCCTGGAACCCCTCAATGGAATTACACCGTCATAATTCACAGGCATCTGTTTCTTATTATACACACTGTATAGTGGATATAGCAGAATTCCTGCTGCCAGCTAGCAGGAAAGAGAAGTAATATTTCACAGCTCTGAAGTAAAGGAGGTCTGTATTTCACAGTTATGACAACATAGCTGTCAAATACAGCTTTTTAAAGTGTTACATATGAACCCAGACGGTTTTTATGGTAGCATTTGTTTCAGGGGGCAATTTAAGGTGAGCCTTGAACGGTCTGAAATTCAGCTACTTGAGAAACTGTCTTTCCCACTATTGTTAGTTGTAGCTATTGAGATGAGTTTCTCGGTGGTTTATGTCAGGTCTCCCCCCGGCCGTGGTTGCTGCTGCCTGCAGAATAATGCCTCTCTTTGGTGGCACGGGGTAATAGGTTGCTCCGTGTCAGTTCACATACAACAGGCATTTGAGTTGTTTATCTGTTGGGCAGAATATAGTAGCTGCTTCTCACAAAACTTACAATAATAATAAAAAAGCTCTTAAAAGACTGTGAATGGCTCCTGCGCCATCTTTACACTGAAGTATGTGGGGATATGCAGCGTAGTTTCTTGTATTACGTTCTCTGAGCTGTTCTGAGCAGCTCTGGCCGTGCCTTCACTCGCTTGGCATAAGACTGTATGACTTCTATTCATATCAGCTGTCATTATTTAGTTTGATCAGGAAATTTAGTAGAGCATGGTTCTGTGAGTGATCAGGTTGGGTCACTGAGCACCTTAAGGTAAGTGCGTGAGGGTCTCTGATAGTTCACACATAACAGTGGTATCGCACACTTTCAGCAGGAAAGCACTTTCATTTCACATCTTGTAAATGAGCATTTCAGATTATGCCCCACGTGGGGAAGATTTACACACACGCTTGCCCCTTTCATCAGGTTAAATATGATAAACCTAAGCTATTTGTGGAAGTACTTAAACCCACTGATTCGTAGCTAAATGATGATAATTTCCTAGGGAAGTTTTAGGGTTTACCCTAGAAGATATTCCTGTAGTCTCCAGAAAGCACTTCTTTTTAAGATGCACTCTTGCCATCAACAGATGCCTTGAGTAGACGTGTAGTGTCACGGTGTCTGCTTTGCAGCTGAGCTGTTCTGAAAACATCAAGAGGTTTAAATATGATTTCAATGTTCTGAGCGTAAATGAATGAACACCACGTTCCGTGGCTGAACTTCTTCCAGAGTTTGTTTTTTTCCACTTTTGAACTTGTGATTGTAGTATTTCATATTAAAATTGCGACCAAGAGGTGCAACAAACAAAAAAGCTCAAATCCCAAACGGGTGTGTTTAATTGGCTTGAAGTAATGTTTTTCATCAGCTATCTCTAGGAGCTGATAATAGCAACATAGCTTTCTTTTATGTTGCTGTATAATAATACATGTTTAAATCAGCAGAAATTTATTGGCACTTTCTTCAAGTGTTGCAAAGGAGCACCATTCTCTTATGTGTTACAGAATATTTTCTTAAATGATGGTATGCTGAAAGTGTAGAATAGCTTAGTATTTTCTGTTTGGCAGTGAAAATTGTTGAACTTTTCTAGATATCATTAAAAATAATATTTTTGTTAGTCCTGAAGTAATCTCAGATAAGCATGATCACTGCTCTGCTGGACATACTCCCCTGTGAATTAGGGGACTTGATTTTCCAGGGCTGCTTTTTATCTGCAATTACTTTGCCTCACTTAAAAAAAAAAAAAACGGATCCTGAAACTCACCTGCCTGTGACCCAACTTTGATTTCTCTGGCTCTGAGCAATCTTGAAGGTGGTTGACACAGTAACAGATTGCCCAGAGAAGCTGCAGGGACTCCATCCCTGGAGACAGTCAAACTCCACCTGGATGCAGTCTAAAGCAACCAGTTCTGGCTGCCCATGCTTTGAGAAAGGGCATTGGATTAGATGATCTCCAGAGGTCACTTCCAACCTCATCTGCATTGTGTTTTTGTGAGTTATTGCACACTTAATAAATAATTTGGAATTACTTATATCTAAAGAGAATTGCTGTTGCTGAGCTTCATTCTTATGTACGTGTTGCACAGGTCAGAACTTTTAGGCTTTTTCTGCTAGTTGTGCATAAAAGCTGATGTAGCACATGGCTTTGATTTGAGGCGTGATAACAGAGTTCCTCTCTGCTCTGTTTGTCATATGGAAGAATTAGCTATGCAAGTGACGTAGAAGAGCAGGAGGCCGAGTCCATAGTCCTTACATAGCCTTACAGGTTTTTTTAGTGTAATTCTGTGATAGTGTTCAAGTGTTAAGAGCTCAAGAGGAACTGATCTGCAGACAAAAACATGTCTAAGGAAGCTGGCAGGAAAATATGAATGAAATCTCTTCTCTGTCCTTCACCCCCAAATATATTAATTGAAATTGTTCTACATTTAATTGACTCTGCAGCTTTACAGTAGCCACAAGATTTAGGGCTTGTGTAAAGTTGTTGTAGCGGACGTATTTAGGCAGCAGTTGGTTTTCCTTATTTTATCTGGCTCTTCCGTTTGAAGCTGTTGCCTTTTGTTGGAATTGAGGTATTAATTGCAGTGGTTTGCTCTGCTCTACTCAGAGCCAACACTTCAGTCCTTAATGTGTGTTTTTCTCTGTTTTTTTTCCTGACAAGTTGTACACATGGCTGCCATGATAATGTAGCTAGATACTCTTTTTAAAAATGTTAGCAGTCTGTGGAGGGAAGACAGTAGGAAATGAGGTTTTGGGGAGGAGGATTAATTGAAGAGTGCTTTCTCCCTTTCTTTTAATTTCTCTTAAGATTGTTAAAGCTGTTATCACAGTTTTCCATGTTGGAATTTTTAATTAGTTCTATGACTTTGGGATTTATATGTAGATTTAGGCTGAAGTGCTCTGCCTATGCTGAGATGTCACATATAAAAATGGGTATGCAGCCAAATCTTCAAAGCTGCTCTGCAAAATTGGAGGCATTTAGCGCTGGATGAGTCAGGTTGAGATAATGGTTTACAGCATACAGTTTTATTTCTACTAATTGTTCAGTAATGGTGTTTTTCCTGCTCTTTGTTTTTGAGGACTGCTTTGCTGCATCTGGCCATTAACCTTTCCTTGCTAGGACTACACATTGAGGAAGCAAGAAAATACATTCTAGTTCATAAGCAGAAGTGTGAGGCTGCGAGGCCTGTACGCTAGGAAAACAATTTTGAATAATAGCACGTAAGGAGACTAAGTGTGAATCCCCTCAGCTGCAGGATCCTACATTTCCCTCCAAAATGAGAAGCCAGATGCTCAACTTGTAAATATGAAGTGGAATAGGAAAAAAATTAGAAAATACTGAGGGTTTTGCCTTTGAAGTGAGGAATTTTAGAACTGATCTTAGTTGAGAATTAAACACACATTCTTAAAATATTTAGAAATTACGTTTATCTGACAACTCTGATCTTGCTGAGCAATGCCTGAGGAAGACTAGCTTTGAGAAATGTGACAGAAGCAACTGCTTTACGGGGGTGATATTGCCAAGTCTTGAACATTCGTCTGAGAAGACAGACTCACTCGGGTTAAATTTTCTTTGACTCATAAGCACACGCAGTAAACAAGCAGAAAATGTAAAACGTCCAATGTCAGCTCGGGAGGAAGGAATATTTCAACAGTTGGGGCTGTTTCCCCTGTATCACAACTTAATCACCTGTGGAATGGTTGACGCACCACCTTCCATTCTGTGGGTGGCTCCAGAGCGGTTCCATCTGGTGGAGGGTGCTCGGGGAACGCCGTGGGTAACGTGCTCCGTGAGCAGCTCGGTTCATGTCAAAGTGCCCCTTTGTAGCTAGCGCCATGGAAAATTTCAAAGCAAGAGCTCAGCTGTAGAGCTTCTCGGTGCCAGGGATTCTCTAATATATCAAAGTTGTAAATGTGAGGCTAGATAGTTTACATGATAGTGATTTATAACTGTTGACATATCCTCTATTCAAGCTGTGTGCTATTCATGTTTGTGTTTGTTTTTAATGGGGAATGTTTAAAAATGGATAAATATTACTTTTGTCTGGTCAGAGATTTAGAGGGGAAAACAATACTTATAAAGGATGTTTTGTTTTTAGACACTGTTGAATCCTCTCTTCTTTCTCCTTAAGAAGCAAAAAACCACACCAAAATCCAAAAAAAAAAAAAAAAAAAAAAAAGAAAGAAAACCCAACTGTGGTTGTTGCAGTGAAGCCAAACTGAAATCTATTTATAAGTGACCATGCAAGATGTACAGTATGATTGCATTCAGTCTGTCTCTCCTGTTCCCACCTCTGAGAAGTGTAATGATTTCTGGCATCTGTGAAGCTAAAGATGGTTTACAAATAAAGGCTTTTGGACATTACAGTTAAAAATGCCTTTCAATATGTGCATATAATATATATGTAAATACATATTTTTATCTGCTGCAGCTCTTATTTCTTTGATACCCTTTTATTCCGTAACTTTCTTAATCAGAAAATAAATACTCATGAATGCATCTTCATGTTTTCTCACAAGTACAATATTGCAGTTTGTGTGATGGTGAGTGTAAGCTACAGGAGGAGTATTGCTAGAAAGTCGCTAAATCTAAGTGAAACACATCTTACCTTGCTTGTGTCCCAAGCTCAGTTCTGCTGTTTGTGTATGTGTATTTCCATTTACACTATGTATGTTTGAGTGAAGGAGTTAGGTACATATGCAGGTGTGTATACATGCACACATCTAAATGGAGGATTATGTATTTGGACGCTGTGGTTTGACTGGAAGTGGAGTTGTAACTCAACTCAGCTGTTGAATTGCATAGCGGGGACTGGGGAGTGGGGTGGAAAGACAAAATCACAATGGAATGGGCTAGTGTTAGCCTGTAAGAAGCAAGATGACTAGCAGTTGGCTTTCTTATAGCTATTGAGAATCCTAACAAATTGCTATTTATAAAATAAAACATACAGAAAATTAATTGCATAATGTGTTGTTAGGACTGAAGTAATGGAAAGGAGAGAAAAAGTGAGACAAACATGTTTAGGTAAATGATCTTTCTAGAATATCTGTTACTTTCAGTGACCATAACAAAGCCACTGGCAATGGAAAGCATGATCTGATACCAGAATTTGAACAAATCACCTTTTTATTTGGTTGACGGTGCAGTTTCTCATACCAGGTACAGGACTTTTCTGCCAACTGAGATTTGTTAATCCCACCCGGAGTTCTGCACGGCAAACTTCCATTGTACAACAGTGCAGGAAATACTGGAATTGCACAGTAAGCAACAGGGCTATAAGAAATTATAAACATTCTGCAGTTACCTACTAGTCAAATGTAAGGTATTAAAGATGTATGTTCAGCAGACAGCAAAAACATGTACTTGTTATGTTCTGCTCAGTTACTGCACAAGTGTTCTGCTTGTAGTTATATATTTGCAGATTGTTAACATAATTAGAGCTGTCTAGTTGAATTGTTAAGCAGCTAAACTTTTCAACAAATAAGTAAATACTAGCTTGGTGGTTTTCAGTTATTTTCCAGATTCCATGTTTAGACTTAAAACTCAAAGCAGACAAGATGAAAAACACTCAAATGGATGATTTTCTTAAAGAACATTTACATTCAAATATTTGTATGAGTGGATAAAGCTTATTCTTGCAAAACTAACATTGTCTTGTCAGTATAAATCTTAGATTATTACGTAGAGATATTAAATTTTTATGAAACATGGCTTCCTGCTGTGCTGGTTCCAAAAAAACAACCATCATTTTAAAAATCAAAACGTATCAGCCATCAGTTATCTCTGAGCAGGATGAGGCCTATCTAGTGCTTATTTAAGCAATACATAAAATCTTGTAAGGAAATGATCTATAATAGAAGTAGAGTGACACTGTTTTTTAAATATTTTCATTATAGTTTCCGGTACTTGGACAGCTGGAAAGCCCTATTGTATTGAATGTTACTAAATGTTAGATGTTAATGTGTTTTGTGTTATCTTGTAGCATAGAAGTCATTGTCAGAGCAATAAATAAGTTAGAAAAATTGTAAAACACTTCATGCTTCAGAGATTTAATTCCATGTATTTTTGGGGCATAGCAAAAGAAAAATGTTAAAATTGTTTACAGGAGTATTGCGTGGAAAAAATATTCTTCAGATACATTATTCTAAAAGCCCTTTATGACAGTTCCATTTTCCAAGATGTCTCAAAAAAAAAAAAAAACCAAGGAAGAAAACTAGGATGGATGCTGAATTTTAGCATGACACTAGTATGATATTGGGTCATTTTAAGGTTTTTCCTAGCAATGTGTACTCAAACTTGTCACGTGTGCTGCAAAAGCGGCATGAATCTATAGCCTTGGGGTTTTTTTTCCTGATTCCTAAGAGGATATATGGTATCTAGTGCTACATTTACCTGATTTATTTACATTTAGTGGTGTCTTAACCTGTAGGAAGACCCATAAATAGCATTAGTCTCTGGTCCGTTGTATTCCACTTCAGCCTTTCAGTGCAGAACTACTGACATTATTAGTCTCTTGGTATCAATATAATATAATCAATATAAATGCATAAAAAAATAATCTTTCAAAATAAAAAGTATTTGAGTACTTTTATGCTAAAAAGAATATAAAATAATAATTTTAGTTGTTTTTACTTGCCTTTTGCCTCTTAGATTTATAAGAATCCTTTCCCTGCATCTGGAAAACCTAGAATTGAATCTATGATATGTCTACTAATGCAAGTTGCTATCCTCTTGAAATCATGCGCTGGTTTTTCTGGTGCCTGTCACTGTTACCTGAAGATAACGCACAGGTTTCTTATTTTTGTAGGGTCATTTTCAGAAGGCAGTACTTTGCAGTGTGAGGTAGTGTTTAAATTCATCTAAGTCAGGAAATCAACTTGCCATTTTGAGGTTAAAAAAAAAAAAATTCCAGTCTCGTGTGTCAGTATGAATTATAGATGATGGATCTTGAAAAACAGTTGGGAGGTATCCTTTATTTATATGATAACTTCAACGTACAGGATGGGTTTTCAAATGTATCCTTGTGGTGGCGGTGGCAGTAATGATTCTCAGCTACACTGCCGTGCAAAAGAAAGTGCTGAACTGCTTAGGAAACGTATGTGGCTTTGCTGTGATATGACTTTTACAGTTGCAGAGTCTTTAATCTAGATTCAAAAGATGTTTTTTAAACATACGCTTTCTCAGAGACAAAATAGCCCTTGGAACTCCTTTGGAATTTGTAGCAAATCTACAGGTGAGCAATGAATATGCAAAAAAAATATTAGCATATAAATAATCTGCATCTGCTTAGTGACTGCATTTGTTTTCCACAGTTTTTAAGTATGCAATGTTGCGTGGCCACTGGCATGAGATATGCACATATAATAAAGATGGATTTTTGTCTCTCTTTCAGAGGGTTCACAGAGTTCAGTTTCGGCTTCTAATGAGATCCAGCAGAACCAGCCACAGGCACTACACTATGCACTAGCCAATGCTCAGCAGGTTCAGATCCACCAAATAGGAGAAGATGGACAAGTTCAAGTAGTATGTACTCAACTTTTTCTAAACTATTCCATTTTAAACAGTCTAGATTATTGCAAAGTTTGCTTCAGTTGAAATTCTTTTTATTTTAAAAAAGTGACCTATTATCACATCTTAAGCACCATTTTCAGAAAACAAACATTGAAGGCTTATGAAAAAAATTTTAGTTATTTGGCAAAAATCTTCACGCATGATTTGCTTACACAATTGTTGCAAATAAGTGCACATTCATTACTGTATATAGAATTGTCTAGTCTCTGGCCATTTGCTTGCACTTGCCATAATAATAATAGCAGATCTACTAAGTGTATGATTTACACTTCAGAGGTTGTTCTAGCTATGACTTTCAAAACAAAAATGCATTTATTTATTTGTTTTCACTTAAAAAACACCCTGCATTCTTAGGCATTTTGGAACATCTGTTAGCTGAATCCTTTACATATGTATTCATTTAGATACATGTATACAAGTAAAAGTTATAAATATTGACATTTTTTAAGCCTGAGACTCCTACCATAACTCAGTCCATGATTATTTTTATATGTGGTTTTAGTGTACTCTGAAAAAACTCACCTTGGCTTTAGTTCCTGTGTGCCACAGCTGGACTGCGAGGATTGTTTTAAATTGAAATTTTACAAAAAAGTAGAAGGAAAAAATGAAATAATGGATTGTGTGGCATTTCTGACATGCAGCATTCAGAAATAGTGAATTTTATCTGCACACTCACTCTTTTGTTGTAGAAACCTGAGAACTTAATGTGTGAAATCCATCTGACGTTAGTTTTCAGAAACTTCAGGCTTTGCAGTTTACAGCATTTATGCGTGACGATATAACATGGAAACTTTCTCACCGATGGTATTAGTGCTTTGAAGGCACCCAGAAATCTGAGTGTGGGGAGCACTCAGCTGTGCCAGGCAGTGTCCAAGCCCAGAACAATCAAATGTGCACAGGCACGTACGTACCTATTCTGTACGATGATCTCGTACGCTCACTTTCCTTAGAAACCAGGCTGAAAAAACAGGTGGAAATGGGCAAATAAACAAGAATTCTTGAGTGGTATTAGTCAACAATATAAACTGTAGTACCCAGTGGTCTGGCTATTGCAAAAATTTTAGTCAACACCATCACAAAGAAGAGTCTGAGGTAGGATAACGAAGCAGCTGTGGCAGATATTTATAGTATTTTCTCCCCAGGTAAGAGAGACAGTACAGGAGAGGAGCGCATGTGCCCAGTTGAATAATTTACACACAAAGAATGAAAACTCTCTGTCAACACAGGGAATGCTCAAGTCTGGTCATGTAGAGCTGCAAATAGTCAGCGTGGAAATGGTGAAGTTGCTCAGAAATACGATGAAGAAAAAAGGGCTGTGAAGGACAGATGCTTTTGGAATGTTATCAAAAAAGACATGTCTGTAAGACCTGCTGAAGGTTTACCGGAGTAGCAATAGAAGAATCAGAGGAGGAAAGTGTCATGGAAGTTGGGGGAGAATTTCAAGATGTGCGGCACGTGTTGAAGGCAACTGACGGAGCTGTAAGCATTGCTTAAAAGGACTTAAGTATTAGTCAGAATATTTCTTAAGGAGTGCATGGAAGTGGAAGGGGTTTAAGAAGAAAGTGATTGAGAGGCACTCCAGACAGCAACTGTAAGAGTTGTGGAGAGGAAGTTGCAGTAGACAGCACGTTTTTCCAAAGTGGAAAAGGATGCTTATAAAGTAAGAGAAAAGAAAGGCCTGGGGTGTGGGTGTAAGGGATGCTAGGAACCACTAGCTGTGAGATTCAGAGTCCAGGCCACCCCTTTTGTTTTCCCAAAGGCCTTACCCTTTCCTGTTATGTACCTGGAAACCATACGACTTAAACAGAAGTTGAGGAGCTAATCCTGGAGAGTGATTGCTTAGTGGAACTAGATCCTAAATGCTTTGAGTTCCTGTTATCAAACTTGGAAGAGGACTGAAGGGAAGTTTAATAAATTAACTTGCAAACTTTTTTCTCTCCTGTCAGTCGAGAGCACCCTCAGTGAATTAATGCTCTTTCTGCAGGAGCTGGGTACCAAGGTTCCATTTCTACTTCACTTTTGCCATAACTTTATGGTATCTTTGACTCTTGGTTTCCCTATATATTTTAAAGAACCTTACTAACTGCTGTATGGATCTTTTGATGAGATTTAACTGATGACTGAGAAGTATTTTTCAAGTCTTAAAAGACAATGTAGAAGGGAAAATTAAATGAAATACATGGATATAATAGACAGAACAGTTATTTTTATAGATGTAAGTGATGAAAGTTTGCCTCATGAAAAGATCCGGACCTGTCAACTGTCCTTTAAATTGATTGTGGAATCGGGAAAAATCCACCACAACTCCCAAGCACTGTCTGCATGTTGTCATAATTTGTCAAACATGTAGCGGGGTCCTAGGTTGAAAGAGGTTAAGATGGTATTGCTTTTTCAGTTTTAGGGAATGATATATGTAGATCAGGCTAAGAGTCATTAGTAATGTGGTAGCTATTTATACTGTAAGTGTTTAAAAAAAATCAGTATTGAATTGAATTTGTGAACAAACTGAAAGGACTGTCCTTGAAGGCCAGCTATGGATCTGGAAAGGATGAGTGAGCAGGTCTCTTTGGAATGCTGCATGATACAAAGGTGAATAAAGTCACCTTCTCCCCCCTCCCTTTAGTCAGGAAGGATTGCTTATATTTGAAAACACTATAAAATGTTCAGTGCATTTTCCTGGGAGCCTTGAGAGCTTGATGTTAAGGAGGGAAAGCGATTCTAATCTCAACATGGACTGGGCTGTGCTCTAATTTTATATACAGTCCCTATTGTCAGAGTGATACTTTCAGTATGTTTTTTCTCCCTATAAATAGACAGTTTCCTTCCAAAGGAAATGAAACTGTTTGAAATAGAGGGATCTGTGTTTCTTTGAAAATCACATGCAATTGTTCTTGTGTTATAAAATAAGAAGAGCCTTTGACAGAATTCCAAATGATTATCTTTAATCTCTGTCTCATGCAGGCATATTAAAATGAACACAAAGCCTTATAAACCCTGAAGTAGGTTATTTAGAATCCAATCTTCCTTCAGGTAAATCACAGTAGCAAAGACTTCGCTGGGCTAGTCAGGATGCACAAGGAATTCCATCCACTCTCTTATCCATGTTTTGATCGAATGGTAGGCTTGATACCATTCTGAAGTGGTGGGTATGGTCAGCAATACAAAGTATTAACATTATTAAAACTGTTAGGGCAGATTCTCCACTAACATAAACCGGTGTAACTGCATTCAAATTAATGACTTCATGCCACTTTAGAGCAGCTTGAGAGATAGTCTTTAGCATGGTGCTGTCCTTCACCGTAACTATGTGAATGTACAAAGATATAGGACATTTACAGATGCCTTTTAAAACCTTCCTCTTAGTGAGTAGTCTTGGTGTATCTGTTTCGAAGATACTGAGTTTGAGAACTGAGTTTTGAAGGTTCTTAAATGGGATTAATGTTTCAGGCACAATGCTAATGTACCAAAGCAAGTTAGTCCCGTGCTTTGTGTATATTAGTCAAAAATGCAGATACTTTGTCTGTAGAGAAATGCACTACAGAAATGTTATTTATTATTATGCCTATTTTCTTTCTTCTGATGTGAAAACGAATCATTCTTTATTCAAAGTCACTGTGCTTATACTTTGCATAAAAAGATGGGGAAATATGAAGGCACTTTATTTTTTTTTAAAAGCTGTATTTAATGGTTTTAATTGAATAAGCATTTTGCTGCTCAGTGCGTTAAGCTGTATTGAATCCAAGGTAATAGCTTCTTTCTCTAGTTCTGATTTTCTTCTGATGCTCCTTGGTGTTTTCTTTTGTTGTGGATCCCACAGGGCCATCTCCACATAGCCCAGGTTCCTCAAGGCGAGCAAGTCCAAATCACACAGGACAGTGAGGTGAGCCAAAAGTTTGGGTGCCCGTGGAGCAACTGTTGGCCAGAATTTAGGGACCTGATTCTAAAACTGCACCTCCGAGATCTGCTACAGTGCACTGCAGGGCCCTGGGGGGACAGAAGCGGGAGCATGTGGTGGAGCCAGGCTGAAATACGCTTTGTGGCAGCACATGCAATACGCTATTTCTGTCTCTGGGGGTTTTCTGGGGTTTCTTTTTGTTTGCTTGGGGTTGTTTATCTGTTTGTCTTTTCGCTTTGACCAGCCAAGCCTGATCAAACATACTGTGTATATGTTACACTAATAATTGTTGTATATGGCTGATGGTCATTTTTGGAAATTTAGGACTTGCAGGGTATTACAGGAAACAAGCTTACATGCTTGCACTGCCATTGAAAAATGAAATTATTTTGGTTAAGTGTATGGACTAAATGTGTTCAGAATACTTGGTGTCTTTAATTGTGAGAACTGTTGCACAGGAGTTGGAGAAACGTTCAAACACCATTTAGTAGAGATATATGGCAGAATGAAGTGAACTGAGCTTCCTTACTGATCAAGTAATCTGGCACTGCAGTATTTGCACCTCAATTTTTCCATAAAAATAGTACAGTAGAATGGAAATGGAGAAATCAAGTACTGAACCCTCCAGTTTTGACTTTTTTTTTTTCCCCTAATCAGGCAAAACAGTTATTAAAGCCAGCTGAGTTTCCCTGAGTGAGAGTGCTATTGGTGGTTATTTAAGAATGTATAGAGACTCTTAACTGCTAAGAATGCTGTTAGATTTCTTGTGCACTTAGTCTGTTTACATGAGGAAGCGATAGCAAAACAAGGTTAAACAGAAATGCAGATTACAATTTCAATCTGTGTGATTTCCCTGTAGAGTTTTTTTAATGTTAAGTGTATCTACTTGTGGGTTAGTTTAGTTCATTTCCAAAGTACCCTAAATCACATCGCATAAAGCCACTCTTGGTGCAGAGGAGTACTGTTAACACAGGGAGTTATTGTAGAATAAATATTATCATAAATATTATATAAATATTATAGTTAAAGGAGTCTCCTTTGAAGAGCTTCTCAGACCTAGAGAGAAATAAGAAAGGATCAAAATATTCTGGGTCTAAAGGAATGCATAGTGTGCTGCAATAAAACTGAAGCCGTTCTTGGGTAAGGAGCCACTGAAAAAATTATGATTCAGCAGATACTAGTTGTAATTGATCTTGAGGTTCAAGCACACCCTGATGTCCACTGGCCTCCTCTGAAGTTCCTGTATGTAAGACTTGTAAGGACTACATTTGTCAGTGACAGATGAAAACATCTGGTTTTAAATTTATTACAATGTACACAGCTTCAAATAAGAGGAAGTGCTGCCAGTAAGAGAAAATTCAGAGAATTGGTGTTTTTTCCTCAAAGAAATGTGCTATTTCGCTGCAAGTCTCTGTTTGGGAAGCTGTTTTTTCTTAATCTAAGTGTGCTTTTGAAAAGACATCTCTGAGCACATGACTAAAAGCTTCATTTTGTAAAGATACTGCTCTCCTTTTTTTAGACTTTGTAGCTACAGTTTCCTTTAAAATACTTAACATTATTGAGCTTTTTTGTAATACATATAATTACTGTAATAGAGCTATGTTGGTCTTTGGTATTGATTTTTGATAAAATAAAAAAAATCTGTTACCACAGGCGGTAACTTTAGAACAACAAATATTAAATAGCACTCCATACATGTAAAAGCGTTATACTGGTATTCTAGTTTAGTAAGGATTTGACTTAAAATTTCAGTTTTATATAAATAAGGAAAACAAAAAAATCTTACCTCAAAAGCCATACAACCGAACTTTGCATAAAAATACTGTACATTACACAGACCTGCTTTTTCAAAAAGCAAAACATGCTGATACTGAAAAGCCTCCTTGATTTTTAGGCTGTTTATCCGCTGTGGTTAAAGTGCTGACCATTGAGTTGTGGCTGGGTTGCCAAAATAACCCTCAGCAGAATTTCCTAAATTAATAGATTTCCTTAATATTGAAGTTGTTTAATATTGAGATGAGAAACAGGCCTTTTTCAGGACAGAGCAGCTTCTTAAGTTCCAAAGTTGTGTTTATTGTCAACGCTTTTATTTTACAGGGAAACCTGCAGATACATCAAGTTCATGTGGGTCAAGACGGGCAGGTAGGAACAGAACTGTGTTTTAAGCAGCATTTTACTTTGATCTTTAATGTTACAGTTGGAATGATCTCACATTATTAGTGTCTGTTTTAAAGAGCAAAATCTGTTCTGGTCTCTCTGTTTAAATAAACAACTTGCAAAATGATAAACTGTAAGCTAAGTATTCTGTCTGTGGACTGAAAGTATTTGACCAAGTTTATTTCATTACTTCTGTGAGATACTTTATCCCTGTGTTTTATACCTTCTTGTCTTTGGCCTCTTCACCTTACATTTACCAACTGGATTGATTATATCGTGTACAGTATGTTCTTTTCTCTGTTATCAACTGTCACTATGGCCAGATGTGGACTGCAGTCCAAGCAAACCTAAGAACATTTATTGCTGAGGTTTAAGCAGCTATTTTTTCATTATATGGCTGTCTTGGGAGAAACAGATCTTTCACATCTGCTTTTGTTCTTTTTGATAAGATGACTTTATTAGGTGCTTATGCATACATGAGGTAAGAAAAAGAAGCTTTTAATTTGAGTGATGAATCGGTAAGTGATTAAATTAGTGGAAATTCCATGTCAGGTGTCAGCAAAATTGCTAACATTTGATCTCAGACACACTTTACTAAATGTTGAGCTATATTCAAATATCCACAGCACAAAAATATTCCTGTAATAAGCTTTCTAGCCAGGCCACTTGAATAAATGTGTTATGAATTTTTTTGTTCCTGTTGAATATTAATAAGTTGAGACATATGGCTAGAACTTGAATACTTCCCTGAATTGAAAAGGCTCACGTCATGAAAGTTCTTGAACTCAAAGGCCTTGAGAAGTTACCAGTACTCTGAACTTTTGACCACGTACAGTATTTGTGTAGGGAAGCAATCTAATTTGTATTTAAAAAGTAAAAATTAAAAAAAACCTCTAAGTATTCTTTACTGAGACTTTAATCAGAAGTACTTTTGTGGAAGTGAGGCTAGGAAAGGTGATTTTTTGGAGACATGTCAGAACCGTTGTTTTAGTACTTCCTATTCTTTTCTCCTTCTTTGTGAAATACTGCTGTCCAAATTACATCTTCTTAAAAGACTAATATTGGGTGGTACATCTCTCCAGGAGTGGCATATAGATGAAGTTACTTTTTTTTTAAATTATAGCCTAGTAACATAATTTTTCCCCTTGAAATATCTATTCATAACAAGTATTCCACAAATTGCATCTCTGTTTCTTACGTAGAACCACGGAATGTAGTTTAAAACATTGCTGTGAGTTCATGCTGTTCTTAAGGGAAATGCCTGGATGACCATGTTCTCCTGAAAACCCCCTATGTTAGGCAGGGAGAGGTAAGTCCTTTCATACAACAGTAGCATTCAGCCGTGTCTCATGCTTAAAATAGTCATGGAGTAAAAAACTGTAAACTCTAGAGTAGTGAAAAACTTCCAAACTCTAAATGCCTGTAAGTGGAGTTTGCTGATCATCTGAGCAGTTGCATTAGTCCATGCAGGATAAAGGGCGTTCTGCAAATACGTGTTTGTAAGTGTGTGTATCCATGTGTCTGCGCAGATACGGATGTGTGATACGTGTTTGAAGTGTGTGAGAGCACACACAAGCCAGGGAAGAAGAACACGATTTAATCGATTTTGTTGTTGTTGAAAATCAACATCAGCTTATCTATAAAAAGGCATCTGTACTGTTACACAGTATGTTGTATTTGGGATCATCCTGCTTCCGCCTAACTGGTTGTGGCTGTACATGTGTATGTAGGAAATCAGTTTAGCATACAATTTTTGGCTTTGCTGTTGTTTTTTTTTGTTTGTTTGTTTGTTTGTTTTTTTCTAACTGTACTCTGGGCCCTGCTTTTAAACTTTCTTTGAAAACAAATGGTTGAAGTGCTGGGTTTTTTTCCTTCATGCACTCAGCTGCGTTTTGGTGCGAAAGAGTAACTGCTGTCCCTCGAGCATCAAGAGCCAGGCGATGTCCCACTTCAGCTGGCATCTGTGCAAACTCACAGGAACCCCTCAAGCACCTCCAAAAGTATTTCTGCTGCTTAATTGTTTTCCAGTTGACCACAAAATAGGAGCAAGCAGATATTTAGGGGATTTTTATCTCCATTCTGCAGGAGATACTGAAACCTTCATCAGCAGTTTAAGCCGCTTTTTTGGGCCTGTTTTGCGCTGAAGGGGATGAGTAGCACTCACATGATTCCTTGGAACAGCTCCGCATGTGTGTTTAGCGAGGGGGTAGAGGGGAGATCTGTGGCTCAACTGGCTTCTGCTCATCAGCTGATCTGTGTTAAGCGACCATTTTTTGAGCTATTAGCTCATAAAAATTGCAAAGGAAAATGAGTTAAACTAAACTGTGTTTGTGGTTTGAGAATGGAAGCTGAAACTAATACATTTTCCTTGGCACTTGTAGTGGGATAAGAGCACAAAAACCTGTCATATGATATGGTTCAGTGGTAATGTAAGTCATAACAATCCAGTAGCTTGCGATCATCTGGACACGACCTGTGATCAAAGAGACTTCTGTAGTTTTCTCACCTGTCCATTACTTTTCAGGAGAGTGTCTTTTTCTTCCGTGTTTTGAACCTGTAACGTGCGCTGCCAAGGGACACGGAAGAATATTGATAATAAGGAAAGTGAATAATGTGTCACTTTTGTTACTGAATGTTTTTAGCTGACTAATATATACTTACTAGTGGTACTAGATCTTAGCTTGGCTACTAAATATTCCCTTTGAAAATTCATCTCATACTGCTGTTTTCCAGATATTATTGTACACTTAACAGATGTTAGGTATTTTCTCTATTCAGGTGAGGTTTAGTACTGCTGCCTGGTGCAGGCTGTCACTCTGAATCACAAGTAAAAGGTTTACAAGAAGCTGGGACTGCAAAGCATAAAGTTGTTAGCTTCATATGAACTAAAGCAGAGAATGGCATAAATCTACTATGAAATTTTATCAGTAAAATTTCCAAGATGATAGATATGTTTTTAAGCTTTGTAATTCTAGTAATAAATACTAGCTTCCCTGTGGAATGCTGCCAGTTGTTGATTTTAACTTTTTTCCCCCTCTTGAATTGTCTGTCCTGATAGTTGCACTGAATTTAGATTTTGTTTTTCTGGCATCATTGTTCGTGGAACTAATGAAATCATGCTAAAAAGAATGCTGTCTACCTACACATGTGTTCTATTAGCTGAAAGTTTCATATTTCAATGCACGTTTAATAAAAATACCAAACTGCAAAAATAATTAGATTTCATATTAACTAACACTAGAAGCCTTGGACTAGTGGGAATTTTTTTGGACTTCGCATTTTATACTTATGAATTACCAGAAGTTTTCTATTTGTCTCTCTCTTTCCTCTGATTACCTGTCCTCCTTTCTCCCTAACTCCATCTTTTTCTTCCTTTGAGCTTCAGTGTTCTTCATCCCAGGAGGTGTTTACTGTGTGTCCTGAACAAGCGGCCGTGGTGCCACGGTGTTCAGAAAATACATGGGGTATAAAGAGGTAGAACGAGACAATTTCAGTAGTTTGACGTTCCTTGATTCTGCGTTTTAAATGTTCCATTTTGTACATCCTCACAGCCAGTGTTTCTCCAATTTAGAAATTAATTAAAATGACACCAGGCAATTGGACTTCAACTAATAGCCTTAGTTCTTAAATTAAAAAGTTAATGCACTTCAAAATCTAAAATATGATCATATGTTTTCCTGGAGAGCCGACAATTTGTTCTGCTCAATGAATGAAAAATCAGTAAGAGTAGCAACACGTAGTTCACTTAGTATCTGTAGGTAAGTCAGAAGTAGGAGAATCCAGAACAAACAGCATGTATGATAGGTTTAGCAGCAAAAAGCTAGCCAGTGTAAATTGCTTTTGTGGTATCAGTCTTCTTACCGTGTGCATATGAACTAAACACGCAGAATTGCTGCTACTCCATTACGTTTTTTGAAAAGAAACTTGGCATCTTATATAGCTGTAGACACAATCTCTTCCAGATAAGTCTGTAATCAAAGTGGTGCACTGAGACCCATCCATAACTGTTGAGTTACATATACGTAGAGAGAGAGAGGGGATCACATTAATAACACATTCTTCTACTGCTTAATGAGGTATTTGTATGGAGCAGTGATTGCATTATCTTTTTCTGAACTTTTACTCTAACCCTGCTGCTCTGCGATGCTTCGCTTTATGGCAGCTCTGAGGTCTAGGAGAGTTCAGATCCGGGGCTGTGGAGGTGGCTCACCAAGCAGGCTTTAGAAAAGCATCCTCTTATGTGTAATGATCGTGCGAGAGTATGCGAATCCATCATCCGAAAAGATACTCGTGGAGAATTGCTGTAGTGATGGAGAACATACAGCAGACTTCGGTGCTGCAAAGTAGCAGCTAGCTGCTGCTGGGCCTGAAAGGTTACAATAGAGATGTGTGTGAGAAAGAGATCAGTGAGAGCTTGTCTTTAACGGCCTCAGGAGGAGTATGAATCTGATGGCTCGTTCAGATCTGTTTTCAATACGCGTAGTACGCCCTGTAATGCAGCTCAAAGGAGGTATGACCTCATCACCTATGTTTGAAACATCTGTCCTGTTTCTGTACTCTCCTGTAGTCTGAAGCGAAGGGCAAGCTGTTAAATCAGAGGAGTGGAAAAGGGGGAGAAATGGTTCCAAATGTTCGGGGGGGAAAAAAAAAAAAAAAAAAAAAAAGCAAAACCAACAAACCCTATTCTAGTAATTCTGCATAATATCCATTGAATCTTATTTGTGACTGGGTTAAACTAAAATGAAAGCAGGTTTGTGGAGGAAAATATTTACAAACCTGTGGGACAGCCTTAACCAACTCTTTTAACATCTGGTTTTTGTATCTCTCTTTACCTCCCTGATCGTTACTGAGATAGTCACACTTTGCTTCTCAGTGAGGGCACCACATTTGTTTAAGGTCCAGTTTAATCCATAACTTGAGCATGGGTTTCAGTTATACGAACAAAAATGCGTTGACATATTAACTCGGCTTCTGCTCACTTTTAT